CTGGTGCCCTACGACTATTGAAAGTTTTGACAGAGCCCAGCACGCGTTGGTGCCCCTTTTGGGATGCTGGTTCTACCACTAAACAATAGTATTTATAAATATGAACCAAATATACGATGCATGTGATGGTATGCATTCAAAACGCTATATAATGAAAAGAACGATTTTCGAGTCTTATTTTTAAGAGTCTGAAGTTTGACATATGAATTGATCAAGATCCAATTCATCATGACAAATCATTGAAAGAGTTGGTTCTACTAAATGGCTAGATGGTATGGGAAAAAAAAAAGAGTTAAAATCTATGGATCAAAATAAAGTTTGAGATCTCGCTTAATTAGTTTGAAATGTGTAAAAGAGTTGAGCGTATTAAATGATATAAAGATAAATTTTCCTATATATAAATCATGGTCATAGGAGCTTATTATATCAAATGAACATGAAGAATTACGTTTTTAAATGAAAAATTAGAGGAAAAAGTTTATATGGACCAACACGAGAATTTTTGAATTTAGTGAAATTGACCATGTTTTATGTAAACTTAAAAAATCAAAATATGGACTCAACCAAGTTAAAATACTGTTAATGTGTGTTGATGTAAGATTGTATTTTTGATTCACGGCCTCTTAATTGTTATTAATGATCTTGATCTATTAGACGAAATTAAATAAATTCTCTTCGATAATTTTGAAATTGAAAATACGAGAGAGGCAACTTATGTGACATGAATTGAAACATTTCAGTATAGCTCCCGATAATTATTAGAGATGTCTCAGGAGTCAGTATGCATACATTTGAAACAAACTACTTGTTAAGGTTAACGCCCATAATTTGTTGGCAGAAAAGGTGTTATTTTGTGATTTTCAAAATAAATCCTATTTTTTAAAACGCGTTTAAAACATAGGTTTGTTTTTGGAAGTGTCCGATTTTATCTCAATTGAATGAACTGTACGCAAATAACCGGATGGAAGAGAGCCCTGAGCACGCACTCGCACGCAAATACATACATTATACAGACAAAACGAGGCCACACTCAAATTGCCTCCATCCTTCGCTGACTCTGTCTCGCAACCGCCATCACCACCGTGTCACCGCCCCGAGCTCCTCTGTTAGCTCGGACTGTCAATGCCTGCCCAGAAGCGTCCGCTCGATACTACTCCTCCTCCTCTTTCTCCTCCTTCGGCGCCCGAGGAAGAGGATGCCGATCATTCACTCCAAAGCAACCCGAATCACAACAACGGAGAAGCCGAAAACGAAGAAGGTATTTTGTCACGTGCGTATACATGTACAAGCCTATGTACATGCGTTATTCTGCTTACAAAATTGTGACGATAAATTCGAATTTCCTCTTTTTTGTTTGTCGTTTATTTACTGATTTGTTTCTTTTCCGACTCCCAGTTTCCAATGGCAGTCCTTCCTCCAGTGACGAAGAGAAAGACGAGTACTTCTTTCTCTCTCTTCATATACACACATGTAGACTCATATACACGTATCTTCACTCTGGCATACATGTCAATTATTGTGTATACCGTTAATTTTTTTGATCGTTTTGTGATTATTAAGAATTTCAGAAATGTATAATGTGTAGATCAATGAAATTTGCTTGAGATCTGCCCGCTTTATGTTGCCATACGATTTGTTTGTTTGAGGTTACACGTTTCATCAAAAATGGCTCTGTGCTTCTTTTCAAGTACTTCAACTTATTTAGATCTTCTAGTTATTGAAAATTCTTTGCTATCTCCCTTTGCTCATTAAGGGTTCGAGTTTGACTAAGTTTTATTCTGGATTCTTGTGATCACTATTTTCTCCATAAATTTATTTTTTAGTTGCTTTACGGTAAATTACTAAATTCTGTTGTTTTTTTCTCTTGTTGGGAGTTATTTGTTTTGTTTTATTGTAATAAATGATTGCATGCTGAGTTTGTTTGACAAGTCACAGTATCAGGCTCGTTGAAATTGGCTTGCTGCCAGAATTTGTAGATGCTTATCACCAAGAGAGACTTGTTCTATAGATGAATTTGTGAAAGCAGCTTTGACACTAAGGGTCATCTATTAGGGAGCCAAAAATTGTAAAAACGTAGTAATGGTATTTCATCTCCATTGGCTTAGTGATTGTTGACTTCCTCAATTCAGTGGAGTGATTCTAGAATCTTGCACTTGTTACTTGTTGTACATTTTATATTTTTTATCATCAGATACTATTTTTTTTTTTTTTTTTCAATGCAATGAGGAATTACGAAGACATAGGATCCCAAATTTTCTAAAGAAGCCAAAGTTTTTAAAAGAAAACACATAACATGGGTAAAGGACTTTTTGATAAAGGTGAACTGAGGTATTTTTGGCCATCATTAGGTAGTGAAATTAGAGGGATGGCAATAAGAATAGAAAATTAGGAGGTTAAGAGCATGCACGATGAGTCCAAGGGTGCTGCATGTTGGGAGGAGCTTAAGCCCCCGTTTGGCCCCCATTTTTTGGAAATGAAAATGGGTGGAATAATTTTTTTTTGAAAAATGAGTAGTTGAAAAAGAAGGAAAAGTTTTCGATTTATGTTAATATTATTTTATGAAAGATTGTGTGGTTGAAAATAGGAGAGAGAAAAATGGAATGTAATGGAATAAAAATTAATGTGGCCAAACAGGGGCTAAATAGAAATATGCAACTTGATACTGAAGTGTTTAGGAAGCAAAAGCTTAGAAGATCATTAAGCCCAGCGGCATGTCTTTCTCTTGTTTCATTTTACTAAGGTTGCCAATCTTAGTCCAATAGAAATTTTGCATGGGAGTCTCATTGGGTTGGCCGATTTGGGTTTGCCATGCTTATATTTTCTTGGCTTGAATCTTGCAAGAGATTGTATTCAAGAGTAAGTCCTTTTATAATGGGAATGTTGACCTGGTGATAAACATCCACCATGCTGAGAACATTATCACCATCAGACTTGGAGTATAGATTTTCAAATTTTTTACCAATTGTGGGCACTAGTTTTAATAGATTATAGTTGTCCGGTGATACCAAGCCAACATGCTGTTCTTTTATTAACCATTTGTGCAGTGTGTCAATTTGTTAATGACCATTAACACCATTTACCTTTTAAAGGGGTGGCATGATTCAATTTAATACATTTTCTGTTGGAGCCTGACTGAGAGCACAACTGGATTGAAACCCAAAAAAAAAAAAAAATTTCGTAAGAACTGGTCGCTACTCTATAAGAATGAAGAAAATATGTCCAGACCAAACTGGTTCTGTTTGGTTTGCTTTTCTCCTGTTTGGCATACATCAGTTCTTTGAGCTTCACTAATGGGTAGATTTGATGTGGTTGGTGTATACTTATTAGATGCATCCACCAATCAAAGATTAACATTTTGCTAGAAAGCTAAAGAATTAAGAAAAGAAGGAAAATTAGATAACCTGTTCAGTTCTTTGAGTTATGCAGCAAAAAAAAAAAAAAATTTCGTAAGAACTGGTCGCTACTCTATAAGAATGAAGAAAATATGTCCAGACCAAACTGGTTCTGTTTGGTTTGCTTTTCTCCTGTTTGGCATACATCAGTTCTTTGAGCTTCACTAATGGGTAGATTTGATGTGGTTGGTGTATACTTATTAGATGCATCCACCAATCAAAGATTAACATTTTGCTAGAAAGCTAAAGAATTAAGAAAAGAAGGAAAATTAGATAACCTGTTCAGTTCTTTGAGTTATGCAGTTAACATTAGAATCATACTGAATTTCGGTTCTCTGTTACAAAACTGAATTTATCTTTTAGTATTGGAACAATTCTGAACCATTGGTCCAACACAACTAGTTATGTAGTTAACATAAGAATCAGACTGAATTTCGGTTCTCTGTTACAAAACTGAATTTATCTTTTAGCATTGGAACCATTCAGAACCACTGGTCTGGTTTTCTGGAGATATTTGTCCAACCCGACTATTTAATTCAGAAAGACATTGACTCCAATGGACTGCAATTTAGAAACAATGTATAACTCCAATTAACAAAGGCTTTGAATGTTTTTCACTTTAAATAAAATGTGAACCACTTTGATACAGCAGAAAATGTATGTGATCATTGGTTTATGTTTTACGAACATCTGGGATCCTTTTGTGGTCCTGCAATTCAGTTTGTTCCATGATACATCTAGAAAAGAAATTTCTTTGTGCACCATTCCAATTTTTGGTTCTTTTTGTATGTAAGGTAATTTATGATTTGCTCAAAAAGTTAATGTTGTATCCCAGATTTGTCATTGTGAAATTGTCAGAAATACGCAAGGAAGTTCAATGTCCAATATGTTTAGGTATGTGTTTTTTATTTTTGTTTGCCAAGTATGAAATTATGACAATTTATGCAACTGAAATGTTCTGCACCATCTAATCCTATGCTTTACTATTGAAATTTGATGCATTGCTAAACAATTTTATTAACTTGGACAATTTGCAATGATGTTTAAAATTGTTCAAGGGTGTGATGCAAAGTTTTAGGAATATACATGTTTACTTGTCTGGTGGAAGTTAAATATTAGAGAATCTAGTATTTCTGAAGCCTCTTGGGCTCTCTTGCAGAATTAAAAAATACAACTTTTTATCGACGTTAAGAGGGATAACCTTGGAGGTATCACCGAAGTCCTTTATACAGTAGCTACTAGTGTCCAAATTCAATTCTGACCACATATTTGTTTTGGGAAATATTTTGTTCTCCGTTGGTTTTTTATATATGTATGGCTATTAAACAAATGATTATTGTATATCAAACACCATGCTTATAGTCTCTTCAGATTTTATTATATGATGCACAAACGCTTCTACTAGGGCAGTTTGTCCGTGTCTCACAAGTGTCATGTCTCATTGGAACTCCTCGGACACTCTACGACATTGGTCCGATAAGCAACATGCCATGTCCTATTTGTTATATATTTTTTAAACATTCGTCAGGCAAGTGATTGATATGGCATGTTCCATGTTCTATATTAAAAAGTATAAAAACAAAGTTACAGTGTATAGTAAAGAATTTAAATCTACGAGACCAAGTCCTTGTAACATAGATTTTGTTTACATGAAAATATTCCATATGTAGAGCCCAAATTGTATAAATTTCTCTTAACTCTGTTCTGTTCTCCAGAGTTTGATGATACTTATTTGTGTATCAGTATCCTGGGTACACTTGACTGTGAAAGGTGTATGACATATGAACTAACGGTTCTTAATTGTGCAAATTAAACATTTTGGCTTCTCTGGCCTCCAAAGTTGGGCATCCGCAGTAGATTTTTGTCGAATCACGATAAAGGGAATACGGGGATGAAAGAAGTGAAACAAAGAAGGACAAGAACGAATTGAAACCAGTATCACATGCCCGCCTCTTCGTTCTCTTCTAGTTTTTACCAAAAATGTATCATCATGATTCAATACAAAGGAGGTGCATAGATTGTCGCATCCATCAATTTAAGGGGGTTTTCAAGTGCACTTCACACTGATTTCTGCAGATTTGGAGATGTTGGAGGTTAAGTACGATGAAGAGGATCTTACCTTGATCCTGTTATATTCACTACTTGGCTCTTATGCATCGTTTCGGGACATCATTTTGTATAATTGAAATACTTTAACTATAGACGATATCTATGATACTTTGCACTCAAAGAAGAAGTTGAAGCATTTGGTTGTAGCTACATCGAGATATGAGGAAGCTCTTATATCTCATGATGGTCGGCGGAGGGGCAGATTGAAGAATAACAGTAATTTATTTACTTCTACTGCAAACGTAAGGGACATATTTGAAATGATTGTGATAAGTTGCAGGCTAAATTCAATTTAACTGCAAATCGTGGAGCGCAACCTTTGTCTTCAGACGAAACAAATGCAGTTGAGAATTTTTCAGACAACGGAGATGTGATGTTAACCGTGATCTGACATGGAATCTATGTCTAAAAGGGAGTGGATTCTCGATTCGACATGTTCACATCATATGTGTTCTAATCAAATTTCTTTCAAACATATGAGACTGTCAAACAAGGTGGAGTTCTGGTGGGAAACAACCAGTCTTGGCATGTTGATAGAATCGATTGAGTCAGATTAAGGTTGTTGGATGGGATAGTCAGAACAATTTATCAGGTTCGACATGATTCAGACCTGAAAAGGAATCTCATCTCACTTAATACTTTGGATGCAAAAGGGCATAAATTCTCTAGTGGAGGAACGTAGAACCAGTTAAGAGACATTTGGACAAGTTCAGTACAGTGGTGGATATTTAGTTTGGTACAGTACCTCTTGTGACGGGCTTTGGGTAGGTTTGCTCAGGGGATTTTTGGTGATTCCGCTTTACCACCATTTTTCTGTGGATACACTGTATTCATTTGCTAGAGTTGGACTCATAGAGCGTAGGTATCGTGGTGTCAATAATGTTTGGGATGCTTTTAAAGATGTTGAATGCGACAGTTCTAACAATAGGCCTTCTGATCCAACATGTGTGATATAGTTTCAACTATAGGGTGTGCTTCGACCCTATTTGGTCAAAAGTAATTTTTCGGTGAAATTTTGGGAACCCAGGATTTGGGTTCAGGTGTCGCTTGTGGACACCTTATAGAGCAAGACGGTTTGGTTTGGAGAGTTTTGATTACTGTGTTTAGGAGATTGGCTATTTCGATACAGATGGATTTGAAATCTTGGAATTTTGTTGGTTGCACTAGAATTGGGGTCAAAATGGAGATTGTTGGGTTTGTGACCCAAATTAGTGTGGATTTTTTTTTTTGGAAATAAATTGTTTCCTTATATTTTACGTGATTTTTTATGAAAACATATTATTTTCTTATTTCACATTATTTCCATTTTTATGCTTTGTCATGTACCTATAAATAGTGGTCTTCTCTTTCAGTTTTGTTCAAACAAGAATTGTCGAGTTCTTATATTTTTCTCCATATTGTCGATTAATAAAACATTGTGCTTCTGCGATTAACTCTCTCTATTAATTTCTTTACTTTAAATATTTTTTCTTGTTGCAATCTCCATTATTTCATATCTCGTCATTAATCTCACTACAATTCTTCTGAGTCCAACACCTTGACACTATAGCTTAACTTCTCATAGGTCATGGACCATGTCAAAACTTAAAGCACCATTGGGACAGCTCTGCATAGGAGAGGCATCTACACTTTCTAGCAAGAATGTAATTGCACCAAATTGGAGCCAAGAGAAACTCCAGTAGACCTATACAACCATGGGTAACCATTTAATTGCTCCAATTGAGGTTGGACGATAGTTTGATGTGATGGAATCGAAGGCCTAGTTTGGTTAATGACATTTCTGATTTGGGTGGTGGTGGCGATGTCGACGTTGTGTGGGTGGCAGTAGTAGCTGGCTGTTGGATGATGATGCCGACCAACGGTACGAGTGGGAGTGGGGAAGAATGTGGAGGGTGAATTTCTATTCTAGGGGTGTCGACCACTGACCTATCTGTTTTTCATGGGAGTGGGTGGGATGGGGTTGGGGTTGGGGTTGGGGTAGGGGTAGGGATAGATTTCTTTTTTCTTTTTCTTTTTTAGTTTTATTATTTTAAATTCTTAATACTTGGTGATATGTAAAGTTGTCATTTTACCCTTTTTAATTTCGTGAAAAAAAGTGAAGTTTCACTTTTCTGATCAATTAACAGTCTATTTGGACCTTTACTTCTAATTTTTTAAAAGTTAGGAATGTTCGCTAGCTTATATTGAAGGTTAGAGTTAAATTTGCAAAAAAAAAAGTAAAATATTAGGTCCGCTATTGCAATTTCCCTAATATTTACTCATTTTGCTATTATTTGATTCCCATTATTTTCAAATTCTATTCTTTTTAGTCAAACATTCTTCAATAAAATAACATTACACAGGAATTCAAATTTTTTCCATGTTCTATATTACATATTTTTTCATCAATTTACTATCTCAAAATACATCCTTACGATGAAGTGGGGGTTCAGACAAGCTTTTTATATGTATCCCATCTATTTGTGCGCGCACAATTGACCAGTCCACTGAATGTATCATTTCTACCCATTTTGGATCGTGCGTTGCAAATTAAATGGGTTGATAATAGCCTCGTTGACTTTGTTCGTCGAATTTTTTCTTGTTTCAATTGGTCATTGAATTCCTTTATTACATATATATTTTTATATTTTTGCGCTATGAAAACTGAAAAAGTAACAGCACGAATAGTTCAACAAGATGTAGTTGTTCATCTAATCTAAGAAATAAAAAATGATACACTAACGAATTTTTCGTACATTGTAATTTTTTTTAGTCACATTTTTTTAAAAGACAAATGTAGACAGGCAGCCTAATGAATTGAGACAAATGGAAAGTTAGCCTGAATAATGTAAAACAAAAAAAATCCCCCGTTAATAAAAAAAAAATGAGGTTATAAATTATAATTTGGGTGATTATCAATGTTTTTAATCACGAATTATTATTATTTTAAGGAAAATTTGAAGTGGAGGTTCCAAACTTTTCGAAAAAGAATAGCTCGATCTGAAATACCTCGATCTTTCAAAAATGTGTGATGGAAGGATTTTTGCATGGTACAAAAATGAAAATTAAAAATACAGATAGAGACGCTTGAAAATGTCATTTCTTATGAAATAAGACACGAAATGCTATTCACAGTTTTAATAAGTAAATAAAATTTTGTTCTTATTTGTCATCCTTTAACAAATTAAATTGTTTATTACAGTAACATTTTTTACCACACACTTCGTTATAATAAAATATTCTATACACAAACCAATAAAGTTTATTTAAATTTTAACCACACATTCTTCAAAAATACTATTCAAAATTTTATAATTTCTCTCATTAATAGGAGACAGACGGGCTCTTTTTTGTGAAAAAAATAAATGGAGACGTCACTTTTAGATAAAAAGAAAGGGTTAGAATATAAAAGAGAAATATAAAGGAAGAAAAAAATCCATTCTTGTAGAACCTGTGATTACGCACTAATTATTACATTGCTCGTGTGATTTACCAAAAGGGAACTTTAAGGGAAGTGGTTTTATGAAATTAACGAATTCTTTAATTGGTCTTATGCGGGATATGAAATGAAATTGAAAGTCAAAGTCGTGTAATATTTGTTATAAACGGCGTGAATTATAAATAGATATGAATAAGTAATGAATAAGTCTACTACGGGATCTCATATTTTAAAAACGTTGCAATATTGCCTCATTCTCAACTTTCCCAAAAATCTCTTTCTCCACGTAAAGTTGTAAACCACTTAATTATCATTCAACCAATTATCTCTCATTTTGTTGCACAGGTCACTCTTGATTAAATTCATA